GTCCATTCCATTTGAGGGGTGACAGGTGGGAAGAGTCCATTCCATTTGAGGGGTGACAGGTGGGGCGAGCCCATTTTATTTGAGGGGTGACAGGTTGAGTTCATTTTATTTCAGGGGTGGCAGGTGTGGCAAGTTCATTCCTCTCGAGGGGTTGCTGGTGAGTTGAGTCCATTCTATTTTGAGGGTGAAAAGTACAAGTAAAAAAAAATCTATAGAATTGTGCACCAATTATTTGGAAGTTAAAACTAAACCATTTCATTCCATTTCCAATAATTTCTTTATAGATAGATATTTTTTTATCTCTATGATTTAGCGAGAAGGTATTAAGAGTTTTTTAAGGGAAGTGATTTCAGAACACGAGGGGGGGGGGTCTCCTGGTGCTTTTGAGTGGTTAAACATCAACTTTTATCTTGAAACAAATGATTTAGCAAGCATGCAAAACAACCCAAAACAAAGGGTCTACCCCAAAATGAAAAATTGAAAAACTCGGGCAGCAAAGTAACACCAAATTTTCCCAAAGAGAATATGGCAAATTCAAAATAAACAAGTATGCCAGCAAGGTTTGCAGGGCAGGGGATGTCAACATTTTATTAACATAATTGAATAGTACATGATGCTCTACTATGCCAAGATTTGAAATCAAACAAATAATTACTTGGATTATTCAGTATATTTTTATGACCAGGTGATGGTAGTAGGAAAATTCTTTACATGATATTTTTCATTTAACGAAACATGTTCATGAGAAGAGGGATTTGAACTTTTGTGATCAATACCATACCATCCCAAACTTTTTAGCGAATTTCAGTGAGAGTTGCAATCCTTAAACTATCTGTATTTGGTGCTTAATTTTATTAAAGCATAAAAAATCTTTTAAAAATAGAAACAAATTTAGAAAAGTACGATTGTAAGTACAAATTATTCTTGCAGGTATTTCTAAAATATTTTGAATACACTTTTCTGGGTTTAAAAAAATTATTGCCAAAATAGGATCGACGTGGCCACATAACTTAATTTTAGGCACATTAACAAAATCTAAAAACTATTTCAAATTAACTAAGGTAACACCAACATAAAAAGCAAGAGCAATATTGATGTAATAACCTTTACAGAAAATTTTGAGAGCGCTCGCCAAATTGTTACAGATCATTCATTCCCCTTATTATCATTACCGTTTTAAGTACTTCATATCAAAATGAAAAACCAAAGATAAATGCGTTTATTCGGTTTTAAGACAATAATGTGCATATAAGGGCGTCTGGTTCCAGAATCCGCACAAAAGACTGGGTTACTTGCAGGTTCCGTTTATGCAGTAAATCGGAAAATGTGGTGCATCTGAAATACGAAAAATACATTTAGTATTGATACTTGCGTATGATAAATATATAATGTTATATAAGGTTATAAGCTTATAATTGAAATCCATTACACCTTGTTGACATTTTTGAAAGTTTCAGAAAAAGGATTGGCTTGGGATCATCTTAGATAATGGTACGAAATTAATGCATATATCGAATTTACGATGGCCGTCAAGCTATTGCACTAACAATTGGCTTTGATCAATACCAGGTATGTATTCATATATATATAACATGTCTTCATATAGTTACCGTTGTATTCTCTATAGACAAGATGAGGCACCTTACATGTAGGCGCTGTGAACCTCCATGTATAATAATATTCTTTTTAATAAGCGTTAAACTTAGTGGTTGAGAAACCGTGTGTGCGCCCGTATATATATATATATATATGCGTTGAAATATTTAACGAGAACTTACCTTAAAAACAATTTGACTGTTTGTCCATCTACATCAGAAAAAAGCCTACGCTTCACGCCATTCATCTAAAATAAATATTCAAAGTATTAAATAAATGCAAACTAAATACGTGTTAACAAGTAAATTGGGAACCCCTATCTTTGTATCAAAGTGTTAAAAGAGCACTCTAAGCTTTATTTGTCATATTCATTGCGATAATGCTATTCTCATTCAATTGTCTAGGGTCAAACATTTTCAAAAAGATAGACAGTTCACAGTGCTAATTAAAAGGTATCAAATAAATTCAGATGCTACTCAACGTTCAGCTGCGTGCAGTGATTTTTCTGCATGCATTCTGATATGTAACATAACAAAGACGTGTTATAAACATTTGACTAAACTTACGCGCTTCTAGTGTTTTATCACAAAGATAATTGTACATATAATGATACTTGCAAGATATATTTTCCTCTACGCCTAATAGTAAAAGCTTGACCTCGCGATTGTACCTTGCATATCCTGCGTCTTCACTTTACGCTGCCCAACTGTCAAGTGACCAGTCTGGACGATAACTCATGCTGCGATGAGTGACTTATTGTTATGTAAATATCAATAGGTAAGGTTCATTTTAGGTGAGGGGTTGTGGCTCAAACCATTCTCACGAGAAAAAGCAAATGTACGTACCCTGATACCTTTTTAGAAAAAAAAACTATTAGACATTTAATGTATTCAGACGTTCTTAAACTATAGGTATTACACATTAGATAACATGTACAGCATGCTTGAAGAATTTCAGTTGTTTTTAATGCTGACAAACGTCTTGCAGCTAAATGCATTTTATTGCTGTTTCGCAAAGAGTAATTTAACGTCCTTGTTATTAGTATATCATTCTTGAAAATTTCAATTGTGGATCTTTTTAATTAAAAATGAATAAGAGAAAATTACCCCGTTCTCTTTACTCATAAATGTCACAAGCACGCACATTTATGGCAAAGAATGACCGATGGAAGCGACCGATGCAACCACTTCAAGACACTGTTTACTTTTCAAAATATAATATAAATCAGGCGTTTTTCTCGTCACCTGCCATAGCATAAATTGACCAGAACTGACTTTTGGCTGATACAAGAAACGATAAAATCTTTACGCCAGAAGGACGAAAAGCGGTACGCGCCACACCGGTTTCCACGGGGAAGATTACCTGGTTGCAGTAGACATTAATCGCCTGGCGCCTTTTCCTCCGTCTAGTATTGTCTACTACCACAAAAATCGGTTTTTGAAAAATGACACTAGTCTCTAGTTGCCAGGTTCGTTTTAGAAAAACGACACTGGTTTCTGGTTGATCACTTGGCACCTTGGTGCCATGGTACGGAGTTAACATTTTTTTAAAAACTCCAATATCAAAACTAGTATTTCAACTATGTATCTAGACTTGGAAAATTGAACACAGTAGCTAAAAGAAAGAAGAAAAACAACATTTTGTAATTTTTCTTTATTTTCTTTCACACGAAAGAACATTATTATTATGATATAAGAGTTTTATTAGGTAACTTTATATCAGCCAAAATAAAAAGCTGCACAAATGGCTAGGCAGCATTTCCTATAAAAATCTGAAATATAGAAAACTAATAATTCAATATAAAAGTTTTCTTTTTATAAAATATAAATTATTTAAAAGATGAAAGTAAAAATTAAACTAATTAATTTGTTTTTGGCATTTGAGGTTCAAAACACAAATTCAGGTAAATAATTTTCATTGTCAAAGCTTAAACAAATAATCACAGTCAAATGTGTGCTCTTATAAAAAGGAAAAAAAATTGCAATGTTAATGCAATAACAGTGAGCAACTATATATACACGTGTATTTATCCAACCCACTGAAGATGTAATGAAATAAAAATAAAATTTAATTGATATCAATAATATCTCCACAAATCACTCAGGACTTAACAAATAAAAATACATGGACATGGCACAGCAAAATAAAAATACAAATAGTGTGCCCATTCATATCTGAACTTGGAAGCTGTAAATCCCATCATTCAGGAAAATTTTCAAATGTTCATTGGTCCCCATTCATACTGAATAAATGCATTTTTTTTTCAAAATAGTCCCTGTATACTGCAGAGTTATGTTAAGTATAAGGTTAAGACAAAACTGTACATGTTAATACTGAAACACATTTGTACATGCATCTCTCATCAGAGATGTTAAAATATCACATATTTGACCAATAGTCTCAGAAGTTCACTACATCATATATGCAGCATGAAGTATACACCAATATACTTCCATGGTGTTCAAGTTCTTGTTTCTGTTCCGGGTGGGTGGCTCAGTAGTTGAGAGCACACAACATAGCCAGACCTCTCTTAATCCAGTGTTGCTGGGTCTTGTCAGTGGGCAGCTCCACTGTGCACACAAAGTTAGTGGACAGACCAGTGGTGGACAGGGTACCTATAAAATATAAATATATATGTATTAAGATATGCACATGAAGTCATCTACCTTCGTATAAATTAGCACTCTCATACTGGTTTGACAATCTGTATGTCAAAAAAGAAAACATGCCTGCACACACAAACATTAGGAATTTATACATACAGGGATATGTTCAACAATAAATCTTCCGGCTATTCAACTTCTAAACTTAAATTAAAAAAAAATCCTAAATTTTCATTTTATAGGTAATTAATATTAAACATTACAAATAATTTCAAGACATTCTTACCTGCTCTTGTTAAAGTCTTATACACAGGGCATTCATACACCCCTGACTGGGGTGGAACTCTGCTGGCCTCAGGTTTCAACCATATACCAGGCATGTCTGTGTACAACTCCTTGGGCCTGGATTCTGTGAGCTTGTGGTTTGTGAAGTCCCAGCGCCCACCTTCTATGTATAATCCTCTGATGAAGCAGCCATCTTTTGGTGGTTCCTTGAGCTCCTGCCAGTCCTCATGTAGAACCTGGGGGAAAAATAACCAATATCAGCAAAGTGATACAGCAACCAATCTAACAAATTTTTGAAGTGAGTATAATAAACATAAAGCAGTTTAAGGAACAATTCATAGGCTTTTTGTTGTCTTGTTTTGATCTTCCTATTTTTTTTTTATTGAACATGTCTTTCTTGTATCTAAATACAAGTATCTAAAGGTGAAGAAATATTTAAGTTAAATATGATTTAAAAAATAAATAATAATAGCATACATACCTCAAATCCAAAGGATATTGTGTCAATGGAGATGACCTTGGACCTGGCATAGTTCTGCAGAGTACCAGTTAAAAAGGCTTGTGGGAAGAAGAAACCAGATATCCAAAATACCTACAACAAACAAAAATAAATTTTACTTTACAAAAAGTTGTTTACTTGCAATGGATTACTCCATGTCAGTTTTAAAATACCCTAATCTATAAAGGCAAACAAAACCTGATACTTTGATATTACTTGATCACATTAATATAACTTTCAACTCTTTTGAAATTACCTTACTTTACAAAACACTGAACCTTTTTTGTATAAATTTCTCTTGCAATTGATTGTCAAATACAGTGTGGATTATAGCATAGGTGGTATAGGACGAGAGAGAGAGAGAGTACTTACAGCAGGAATGCCATTGTCAATCCAGCCTTGAATGAACTCCATCCTGTGAACAAGATCTACCACCCAGGCAGCCAGAGGCTTCAAAGATGGATAGGCCTACAATTTGTTAAAAATACCATTGCAAAATATTCACCTTAGAATTGTCAGTTTAAAACATCACTGATGAAGTGTTGTCAGATATTCATTTCATATCAAGGTTTTCAATTATTTCTCAATTTTTATGAAGTTAAATGTTCACCAGTTTAACATGAACAGTCAGAAATCAAGTCAATCTTGTTCCAATAACTAAATTTCTAAATGGATCTATCAGGCATCACTAACAAAACTAGGGAAATCTGACAATTAATCATTTTTGCTCAAATTTTGTGATCATTTTCCATGATCTTCCAACAACATACACTATGCCTGCAGTAGCCAATAAAACATATAAAGCAGTATATTAATTCTGACCTTGCCTGCCCACATTCCTGGGACAGTGTTGTTGTACAGACTGTTGGCCATGTCCTCCAGTTGCTGGGACATCACCACCAAACCCTTCAAAGCTTTTAGCATGTCCTTCAGACTACTCTTGATGATAGCCAGGAGCTTGTTAAACCTAGGAAAAAATAACAAACAACTGTCATTATTCCATCTTATTTTATGCTTTGGTCTAAATGACATTATTTAGTGTGAAGTATGAAATGATAATTATAACTGCATTATCCTTGTTTATACAGGTATGCAGACTGCATTTGAAATAATTGTTCAGAACTATATCAGGTAGTTGTTTATATGGCTATGTATATTTATTTTAAGTTTTATTTTCTATCTATATTTAAAAATAGTAAATGCACTGAGCAATAATCAATATGAAAAAGAAAAAATTATACTGGTGATTAAAATGATGATGCATTACCAAAACTGCACTGCACAACAAAACATAAGAAATCAACACATTATCTATGTTCATGTATCATTAAGCAGATACTGTACCTGATGACCTCCTGTGTGAGTACTGTGTTCATAGACTGTTCATATAACACAGGGAACTTCTCCATTACTGGACCTATAGGTATGGGGTCTGGCACCTGCTCCAGGATGGTCTTAGCAGCATCCTCCATAACCTGGATAATAATATACCACATATTACCAACATACTTTATCTGGATATTATTTTTAAACTGCATCTTTTATGTTACATAGTTAAGTGTATAGTGAGTTTATTAATAGACAACCTTAGCTAATTCTTTTCTATGTAAAATTTATTTGAAATTAAACGAAGACTCTATTCAGGAACAAATGGCTGAACGATTTGCTTACTGTTTTTAAAATACCAAAATCATAAGTACTGGAATACAATCCAATCAACAAAATTTTAAAAATTGCACGATTTTCAATTCAGCCCCTACGGAGATAGGTCAAGGAATCATGTACAAAGAAGTTTTTACCTCCTCTCTTGTCTTTCCTTTGCCACTTGTAGACTTGGGCTGCAGGGCCAGCAGGGCTTCCAGAAGCATAAATGTCTCATTCTGAGCAAAGGTGATGTTGGCATTGTTGTGCAAATGGAAGATCTCAGGATTGTCATTGATGGGTAAACTCTTTATGTACTCCATGTAACCCTGATAACATGACCAAAAAGATTGCAATGACTGTCCAAGGTATTTCAATTAAATAAAAATAATGCTCTTTGTTTTCTGAATATACATACTATGTAAAGAAATAATCTACATTACATACTAATTTAAACAGAGTCAGATTCTTTTTAAAGAAACTTTAAACTGTTTCAATACGCAATCTGAGTGCAAATTGTGCAACAGATTCAAACAAAATGACATCTACACAAAATAAAATAAGAAAGACTTACATGATGATCATTTTCTGTATTAATCTGCTTATAGATGCCAGACTCAGAGTAGACATGGTCTTCTTCCAGGACCACGGGGTTGTAGAAGTCTGCTAGGATGCTCATGAGACACCGCCTGTCCCAGTCATCTGTCACACGGCCACCATAGTTGATATGACCTGCTGTGTACATCAGCACCTGGAACCAACAACATCTCTGGTTCAGGGTCTATATTCTAAATGCGCACTATTTAATCATCACTTGGTGTTAACAGAGCCTACTTAAATACACAGTTTTGCATACATTTGAAGGCATATGTTAACATCACATAGTAAACCTGTCTTTCCATGCAGTTGTGTTGAAAACTGTTAAATATTGCATATATAATGATAATATGCCATTTAAGTTTTTCTAATGTAGAAAAAATTCAAGAAAAAACAAACAAAAAAAAAAAATATATATAGCTCCAAAACTAAACATTCTAGTTTTTATATGACAATGATCAAGATTTCAAATGGCAACTGCAGGATCTATAGATTACCCATTCCCCAGAAATATCCCATAACTTTATTGCATGGGAAAGGGGAGAAAGGGGGGGGGGGGGGAGGATTAAAAAATATTCTTTCAAGTCTCATAAACCAAATAATAGATGTACACAATACCTTGTAAGGGATGGTTTCATATTCAGCAAGGAACATCTTCAGCTGGCTGACACAGATCTTCAAGTCACCATCAGTGAACTCGTAAGGGATATTGAAGCCGAGAGCACCAAACTTCCTCCTCTCTATGCTGACTCCGTGGAAGAGACACAGGGAGAACAGCAACGATTTGAACTCATGAGTCTGAAACAACAACAGGAATATTTATAAGCATAATAACAATAGGAATATTTATAACATCATTTCAGAAGCATAATGATTACATTTAGTTTTAGGCATATGAAGAACTTATTGACTAATTCAATAATTGGACCCTAAATGCAGATTAGGTTTTTAAAAAAGTGATAATTTCTTGACTTGTAATGAAATTAATGAAAAAACAACATATGTAAACACAATTAACAGATACTGTATTTTTGTTGATATTCATTAAATGTAAACAATCCAAACACTACATTGTAGATAAAGCAAACCATGAGAATGGCTGATAAGGATGGATGGATGGATGGTTGGACTGATGAGGGGGTGGTTGTATGGTTGGAGGGTTCTAAATGCATTCTAAATGTTTTGTTCTCAAATTTTACATCTGTATTCACTGTTCACTTTATCATCTAAATATCATGCATGCACTGATAAAAATGCAAATGCAATCATTAAATTTGAGACACCAGTCAAGTGCCTAGCAAAGGATTTTCATGAACTAAATCAACTTGCTGATCACTTAATTTTAAAAGCTGAGAAAGTGTGCAGGCAAAAGAATGCACCAGAGTAAAAATGACATATTGGCTAATTGGTGATCTATTATCTACATAGATTATAAAATAAGAACAGACTGTCAGAAAGAGAGAGTATGACATGACACATCTGGTGTAAAATGTCAGTGACGCTAATAAGACTGAACAGAGTTTGCATTATTTCTAGCTTCTACATTTGTATACAGACAAAATCATAAATATCTTAATCAAAAAGTATGAAAATCTAACACAGAGTACCCATATCACACTACAAATAATTTCTGTACTTAAAAATATAATTCCAAGGCAAATCAATAGAGTATCAATGGCAGAAAAACTAGACAGTACTCCAAGTACTAATAAAAAAAAACAAAACTGTGCTAAGGAGAATGAAAGGACAACTTCCAAGATGCAAATCTTTTTAATACAAGGTGACAGGCAAATCATGCCTAAGGGAAGTATGTGGAAAATATAAACTATAAATATTAAAAGTAATCATCTAGCCTAGTAAATTCATAGAAAAAGAAAAAATAAAGATTAGTCAATATCTATGTGTTAGCATTAATAAAAGACCATATACTTACTCGTTGTGATTTCTAGAAAAATGTGCAACAGACAAAATTGTGCATTATACCAACATCAACAATATATGACAAACAGTTAAACATAAATCATGAAACACAGACAATGTAAAAGTGGCAAACTCTGATAGTTGCACTGTAACTTTTATGACAACTGTCATAAAAGTGATACTGATGGCAAAGGATAAATTCTGAACACATACATTATAGGACTTATTATAGATTGCATCCTAATTCATTCAGAGAGCTTTTGTGATACATGAAACCAGACACCTAAAATCATTTTTGTCCTATTTTTAAAAAAAAAACACAGAGCTTGCCACTAAAACATTCACCATTTTTCCTTTGTGTAGACTTTACAAATTGTGCAGTATCATAATGACATTCACATACAAACAATCAAAAGTTCAATGGTAGATCAATGCAGATCTTAAGATTAGATCCATACTTACACTTTCACTGCCCAAACCAGAAAGCAAAAGCATGGATCTTATCTTAAATATTGCACATCTATCAAAGAACTTCAGTTTGATGAAACTTTTTAGTTATGATATATCAGTCGTCATATCTTTCCTCGACCTTCTAGGTTAGTGATAATGTTTGATATTAACCTTATTATTACTTTTTAAATATCTGATCTTATTAGAAACTTCAAGAGTGCTACCAATAACCCATAAACACATAAACAAATAGTGCTTTTTACAAACAAAGATTAAAGTTCATGCTGTTAGTCAAGACACATACTGTTTGTGAGCAGTAAGACAAATGCATGAATTATGGGATTTACTCAATTTCATTTTTGTCCTTTTTTCAAAATATATCATTTCCAGTTCTAAAATTGTACTTTCCAACATGAAATACATTTACTTTCTATGTACTACTAGCAAAACAGTAATTTGGAAAAGAAAAATCATTGACATTTTTTCTTTTTTACAAAATAATTACCATGCATTTACCAACTCACATTCATGCATGTACAAACACATCAAAAATACAATATGCTTACCCGATCTCCTAATGAAAGAAGGAATTCATCAGTAAAGCCAAAGTATGACTTCATCAAGTTGGCTTTGATTCCTTTAGGAGGTTCCACTGTCATCTTAGAGCCATTCTGTAAGATGTACACAGGGAACTTTGGACTAGGCATACTGGTCAGCCACAGACGGAAGTCACGGTGAACCTAGAGGATGAATATGAAATTATGAAATTTTGATGGTGAAATTATAAACAATTTACACATACACATACACACACATACACGTATAACTAAATAAATAAAATAAATAGTATTATGGGTCCCTGATATGGTATTCAAAAAGGTAAAATCACTTCCAAAAGTTTTCACTTAATTTCAACCACATGTATATTCTAAACAATCTGTCTCCGAATGGAAATTAACGTGTATTCATGTTATTCTTGTTCTTTTTTTCTTGAAGTGTTAATCAGTTACACTAGTGCCTCTGATTTGGTCCTAAAGACCACTTAATTTCAACCACATGTATATTCTAAAAAATCTTTCTTCAAATGGAAATTAAAGTGTATGCATGTTATTATGGTTCTTTTTTTTTTCTTGAACTGTTAATAATTTACTTTGTCTGGGTCAATCTGCTCAATGAGTCTTTCCAGTGAAGGCATCCAGCTTGGTGCTAAGTGACAGTTTTGGAAAAATACCCATTTGCCTCTCTCCATAGCACTCCTCATCATGGCCTCTGCTCTTGGACCCTGGAAAAAAAAAAACAACCATACAGATATGACATTCTGAACAACAGCACTAAACAAAATATCTAATGTTAGTCACAGAGTCAAAGTTATTGCCGACAAATTAGCCCCAATGACTAGGTCTCCACAAAGTTTTTAGGGTGTCAGTTTACTTCAAAATGTCAGTGAATGGAGATAGCAGCAGTGTCAGTAAATGCCCACACCTGGCAAAATAATATAAGTGAAGCTTGCTTGATCGTTTGATTGATATGAACTTACAAATTTCATTCCATCTTCTAATCACTTTTTTCTCACCTGTCCTTGTCCCAGTGAAATGGCTGATAATTTCTTAGCAAATCTCATTTCCTCTGCAAACTTGTAAAGGTCAGCTGCGGGGTCAGTGCCAGTGGACAGGACAAAGATCAGTGGTGTTGTTGGGGAAGAGTCCTTAAACACCTGGTGAAGATCTGCCGTCTGGAGTGGAATGATAAGGTAAAAATATTTATAATATTAAATTATTTTGGAGAGTTACAAATAATGTTTGCTTCATTTTAATATTTCTTTTACCTGAGTTGCCTTATGTTATGTATGATATAATGGAAAAGGATCGGTCTGTTGATTTGCAATCAATTTGCAATCTGCAATTTGCAATCTCAATGAACACTCAAACAAAACTTCAGTAGCATACAGTACTTAAAGTATACAGTATATAATATCATATATATGATGTATTATATAAAATATGCATACATACATCATACAAGTATTCTATTGAAAACATGTCTTACCTGTGGTTCCACAAACCTCTGCCCAAGGTTCTTGGCAACAAAGTCTTGCATGGCATTAGTAATTTTATCTGATCTCAAACACTTGAGAACCAACAATTTCTGGAAGTCATCCAGGTCTGTGTTCCAGCTTCCTGGAAGCTCCTCTCTGAAAATAACCAAGTTAGAAATGATTTATCTTGAAATATCAAATGTGCAATAAGAGAGAAATTGTCAGTTCCTTAAAAAAAAAAATATGCATTATAAGGACCAAAAAGTAATACATGACACCAATTAAAAATATTGACCTATAGACTTAGAGAAAACTGCATTTGTTAGCACCCAACTGATCCTGGCACTGAGACTTGATGCACTGTGAAAAATTACCATGTACATATCAATAAGACAACAATTGTTACAGGAAAGAAAAATCTCCTAAAACAAACCTGTGAGGATCAGCGCTGTCAAAGATTTTCTTAAACCCTTCAACATGGGAGGGGAAGTCATCTGCAAAGGAGGCAAATTTGGGCACAGCTGCCAGGGTGAGGATATCTCCCCAAGACCTTTCACTGAGCCAGTCCACAGCTGGGTTAGGCAGCTCCTTGGCCTTGTGTGTCCCTCCAGCTATCAGGAACCGCCACTCATCCTTTAAAAAGAAGCCAATGGATCATCATTATTTTGAACATAATCTTTTTTGCAGTTTGGATAAAATGTTTGTAAAAATAGTGATTAACACCAATCATGGACAGTCAGACTTAAAAGGAAACAAAATGCATAATGCTATCCCTGTGGAAAACATTTACTTACTAAGTTAATCTTCCCTTGGTGCATCAGTATTCTGGTGCAGAGCAAGAAAGCAAACAGCAACTTGTGTTTTTCAAACAAGCTGCGACACACATTGCTGTACAAACTGAAGGTGAAATACTCATTGATGTTGGTGATACGCTGAGGCAAGTTATCTGAAAAAAATAAATAAATAAATAAAAATAAAAAAACACTCATTTGTGGTATTCAACATTTCATAGCAAAGACATTCAAGAAACTGAACAAATGAGGTGGAAATTCTGGATCCAAAACATTATATTATATAATATCATATATAAACAATATATATAACAGCATTACATCTCCGCTATCATCAACTAAATTTCAACAAAACAGTTGCAGTTGTAACATTTATAAATACAGAACTTTTCGCACTATATTCAAGGCAATAACTTACCAGATCTTTCAGCATTAGAGATGCCACCTAAGAAGATCCTGATAAACCATTCCAGTGAGTACTGATACATAGGGTCAATATTGGCCATGTCAGCCACACAGAAGAACAAGATCTGGGTATTCACTGCCACTGGGATGTACTGACTACGAGTCTCATCTATTTCCTTCTCAGTTTGTTCTGCTACAACCACTTTGGCCTATCAAATTATCAAATGTAGATACAATGCATTTTAATATCAACATCATATAAAATGTATGAGGTATATCACATCTGATCCTCTGACATACAAGTTTGTAGCAAAACCAATTTTTTCTTAAAAGCCATAACTTTGGCAATAAGTTTATAGATACATGTACCCAGTTAAGAAGGGATACTGTGTGTGCATGAAAAAAGAAAAACCAATGCATGTTGCTTACAAATCTTCACTGGTAGTAAATTGTTAGCCTCAAGGCTGAAAATATATATTTATAAAAGTACAAATACACACCTTGATTTCATCAGACTTTATCTTGGATGCATCCAAAGTGGCAATCAAATCCACATCATCAACAGGGCTGCCCTCTGCAGAACTCAGTCTTTCCAGAATCTTGTCTTCAATCTCCTTCAGTTCATTCTTCATCTTGGCATTGCTGATAATGAGCTGGTTCTTTGCCTCTTCCAGGTCAGGTCTTTCCTCTGCCACCACTGTTCCCAGCAGCTGGTCTTCAAGACCACTGAACACAGACATGACATAATGACATATATATATTTGCACAATGATCTGGACTCTTTTGGATACAGTGCTTTAAATTAATATTAAATGAGATTAGTTTGACACTTGCAACTAGCTGCTGACTTTGTTTTAAAGACTTGGAAAATTTAAAAAGAGGCCTTGCATAGTGTACCAATTTTACCTTTCTAATTAAACTGGCACTAAATGAAAGCATGCAACTGAAATCATACTGTAACAGAATTTGCCAGAGTCAGCTACAGTAGGTAACAATTCAAAATTCATCTTTCCATTTATTTCTATTACCCCACTATTGCTATAGAATGATGAGGCATGTGGAAAACTTAACCAGCAGTACCATAATGTCACAGCCTGTATACGTCTGTATACTCTACCTTGGTGACAGTGTGAAGTTGACCAGTGTGACCTTGGTGGAGACCTCTGGTGTATAATGAGGGTTGGGTAGTTTGGTTGTAATGTAGAACTTGAAGTCTTCATGGTAGGGAATCACTGCATCACCTAGCTTGATCACCAAACTTCCAGACTGCTTGAAGGTCTGCAAGAGAGTATAAGTGCATATTTGCATATTCAGTGTCTTTTCTTTATTATAAGTATTGCACTTTCTCTTCTCTATATCTTTTTTAAATTGTCCATACAGTTTAAAGAGCCTATGAATGTAAACTCCTGCTCAATAATTTATCCTCATTTTCATATTGTAATTTTTGATAATGTGAACTGACACTGCCTCAGTAGGTACACTATTACAAATTTAATTTATTCCAAAATAGGATACTAGCAGAACCACATTCCAATAATATTCCTGTGATATTATGTCAAAAAGAAAAAATTCAGTATCTGACCTGCTTCAACAAGATGGGTTCCAGAGCAGGGTCCAGTTCCTCTCCCACATTCTCCAGCAGACATGGTTTACCAAAGCGCACAGCATTCTCCAAACTACGCAGGAAATCCCTGTCTGACAGCTTGATGACATCAATTCCATTGTCTTTTTCCTAGTAAAATAAAAAGGACATAATTTAGCCAAGATAATATAAATCTTTATAAATATACAATACCTTATATAAAATATTTTCTTGTATTACATAGTTGATGAGAAATTGCTATAATTAAACAGAATCATGTATTTCTTTAGCATAGCTGTCTGAGCTTATTTTTTACACCCCCCCCCAAAAAAAAAAAAAAAACACTTGTGATATAAAACAGCAAAACTTAGGGAAAATGACTATATATCAACAGAAAAAAAGCATAATGCAAACAAATCCCGATTCAATTTCATTTCTGACCGAAGTGTATACAAATATGTTCTGCTCTAAAATCTACCATCAGAGAACCCCCTGATATTCCTCACAAACCTGAGCCTTCCACTTACCAAGTTCTTCACCCACTTATTTGCCTGCCCCTGTGGATCTATGAAAAGTGGCCACCTGCGAGAGTACTGGACCACCACTCCATTCTCTACTGAGAGGTTGTCCTTGGGGAGACCAGCAATCTGCCAGCTGCGGACCTTCACTGGGTCAGCCAGGGTACTGATCAGAGTGGGGTCATCTGTGGTGGGCACTTTGTTCTCGGTCAGTTTCTGCAGCCACTGCTGGACCATGGTGGTTCGATAGTTGCCCTGGTGTGAAAAAAAAAAGAAAGATGTTATATCCGCTGAAGCTATACCGACATAGCAAATATCTAAGTTTTTAAGTACAAAGATACCAATTAAAATATACATTGAATAAACTACTGGGCTAAAACCATGCCAAAACAAATCACTTGAAAAGATATGCCACCAGTGGGAAACATATTGTTTCTATTTAAATATTCTTCTTATTTAAAATATACAAGAACAGGCTGAGCATGATAACAATTCATGCTACTCACAGTGAAAGGTCCCAGGTAGGCCACACAGCCAGCAGACATAAGCACGTCTCCTATCACATTGGCCACCATGTACTCCAGTCTCTCCACAGACTCCTGCCACCTGACCTTCTCTCCTGCCAGACCTCCAATGAGCTGATTGAAAGATGATCAAAGGAAAAATAAAATGACATATGTAAAACAAAGCAAAAAAGTTAAAATGATATGATATTTTAAGAGAACAGTTGAGAATAGTGGTAAGGTTTAGATGAAGTGGTGGTAAGGGGTGGGGGAAAGTTAATATTTCCAGCTATCATTCTTGAAATTTAAAAAAATCTTAATTCCACCATTAACGGTTCTTTAAGAAAACATAGGCCTAAGTATTTCTACCAGTGAATTATTGTACTACATGTACTCTGAATAAGTAAGTGCTAAGGATCTCATGTTATACCTTATCTGCTCTTCCTAGCCTGGCCTCACACTCCTGTGTTTTATCTTCCAGCTCTGTCTTCTTGCGCACACAGTCATCATACTTGGCCTGCAGAAGGGCTATACCATCTTCCACCTCCTGGAGCCTGGCCTTGGCAGCATCCAGAATTTTCTGTGTTTCCGCTAGCTCAGCTTGGGCCTGCTGTAGTGCTGCCCTCTTGGGGGCTACAGCTTTAGAAACAAAGTGGTACTTGTGCATAGCTCGTACCCACTGGCAGATAGAGGTACATGCCTTTGAGACCTGGTTGAAAAAAATTATAGTGATTAAAATTTTGTCTTTATATGAATTAAATCGTAAAAAGAATTATATCAATTTTATGTAGACTATAGTTATATAACATTTATTTTTAAAATGTATATAACTTAGTCAGTATTAATATCAGAGAGAGAGAATATTTCACTGAAACCTAGTAAAAATATCCAAAAAAATTTTAACACAATTGCTTTAAAACTTTGAAGAGCAGAGAGGTACCTTGGCAATAGCAGCAGGCTGGAAAGCCTCATTATCTATGTATGTCTGGATGGCCTTGATGGCAACATCTGGAATGTTATCCTTGTCATACTTGAACAAACTTTCCAGGAATTTGCCAGGATCTTGAAGTAATCCTTTTCCAGGCTCCCAATAGTCATCAATTTTTTCTCCAGGCTGCAACACAATTTGTCAAGAACATTCATTATCATCATATATATATATATATTTTTTATGGGAGTGATTTGTAAAATTTTCATCATTATAAAGAAATTATATCTAAAATTGCATAATAACAAAAACCAAGGAAACTTTTTTTCTTCTGTATTCATAGCATCTTTATCTTTATCTTAACTGAAAACAAAAACTGAAAACCACCTTAAAATTCAGTCCAAAACATTCTACGAGTCATTAAATTATTACTAGTTGTCTAAGTCTCATGAAGTCCCCCTACCTTAGATCCAGGCACTTTCTTGGGCTTGATGCTCTTCATGATGCACACAGCTTCAATAACCATACGTACACCATCTGGTGGGCGTGTCATGGACCTCACTTCAACTACATCATTCTTGTTCAGAGACTTCAGACTTGCCAAGGCAGCATCCTGTGGAGAAAAGGAAAACAGAGTTAAGAGCTATACTTTAATGTTACCACTAGGACTACATGTATCACAGCATTCATGAATACTTCTCAGTTTATGATAAAACAATACAATAAAAGTTTAGGCCATGAAAATTCCTTGATGGTGAGACACATGTACACATACACACACAATGTACACAAATATACAGTACAAATATAAACTTTGCATTGATGATATAATTGTCTGATAGCACCTCCTCTTCCATATAAAATAGGAAAAATAAATGTTTCTAGAAACATCTATGTAATCAGTCCCTTACTAAGGCTGGCAGTGCTTCATTCAGATCTCTCTGTGCATCATCAGCAATGGCCTGTGTCTCTCTGGCTTTCTCCCCAGCCTGGGCCTCCTCTTTTTGCACCACTGCCTTGGTCTCCTCTGCTACTTTCTGGAAGTAAAATTTTGTTTTTATTAAAAACATTGCTCATTTGATTCTTCTCAACTTGCGTTTACCAGGCCAATTATTATGAAATTTGTGCTTAATTTTACTAATCCCACCTAAACCTAAATCCCATGTCACTATGTCATATTTTAAGATCAATTTATTTTTCATCATGCCACTCCTAGCACCAGGTTAGCAATCAGAAACCAAGTGAAGGAAATAAATAGTTTGATTGGACCCAATTAACTAATAATACTGCTGCTAACTACTTAGTAAATTGCACTTTCAGACATCTAAATGACTCACAAATAATGCAGTTCAGTCTGTACAGTTGCAACATTGGAATAATCATAAACATATATAAAACATTGTGTCATCTCCAATTAGACTGATATTTAACCTATTTGTTACAATTATTTGTTGCACACTGAGATTTCCTCTTATAAGAAATAAGCCATTTGAGGCAAAACCTCAAAATGTGTGGTGACTACAGCATTGACTTGCTGTCATATACTGACCGTGTCCACTGAAATCTTCTCCATGGTCACTATGGACTCTTGCACTGCTTCCTCCAGAAGTGGCCTCATGGTCTCCAGCTCTTCCTGAAGCTTAGCCACCTCATCAGCAGTAGTGAGGAGCTGGCAAAATGCAAAGGTAAAATTTTATAAATATAAAAGGGCAAGCTTAAAGATGTGAAGACCAGTGCTAATAATTAAAGAAGCATTCCTGCCTGCTTGTTGATGTAATCATTTCATCAAAATGATTTGGACTATGTGGTGCACTTTTCCACTAATTATTCATAGCCTGATACGTTTTAGTGGCTAATACTGAACCAAGTACAATATAAAGATAAAAGTAAAGGTACCTTATCTAGACCAGTTTTCATTCTGTTTTTAGCAAGAGTAAGTTCATTTCTCTTGATAGACACTAGATTCGAGAAAATCCCCAATAACTCCAGGTAACTTGTTGGAGTGACATACACATGTCTGGACATCTCAGCTAGGTACAGCCTGGCATTCTCTATCACATTCTGATGAATTACTTGACACATAACAACCTGTAGCAAAAAATAATAATCATAATTATTATAATTATAATGTAAGGACAAGGATATCATTATTTTCAAATGAGAGGAGTTTTTGATATAAAAATAAAAAAACACAAAATTACAGAAAACACTGTTACTATGTACAGTGGTCTTCTGACAAAGTTGAAAAAAATTAATGGCAAGATAAATTTTTAATATCTAGTCACTTGGGAGTATCACTTTCAAAAGACTAAAACAAAATTTAAACAAAACTAACAAACAAACATAAAAACAACATTATATTATAAACTATTTAAATAAATCATTTTTTGAACCAGACAGTGCCATAGGAGCATTTGTGTATACATACCAGGCCATCAAATACAGTTTCACTGGCATCCAAATCAACAATATCATTCAAAAACTTCATGGCCACAGAACGGAGAGCATCGTCAGGCCACTCACTAAACCAGTCTATAGTACAGCAGTTCACCAGTGCTGGGAACATACGCAGACGTGCACGGAATATTTCACCAATAGGACTAAAATCAAGGAATAAAAAATACCATAATTACTGACAAGTTTCAACAAACTCACAAATGAAAAAAAAAAATTNTATTTTTCCAGAGTTCAAAATTTATTATCCATTACCGTACTGCACATTTTGCTTTCACCACCAATATGTACTTTTTGATACAGCGCAACTCGAAAACCGTATGGAATACAAAAAAATGGAGGCCACCTCCAGTGTTGGGCTTTACATGCTCTACAAAATGCAAAAAAGAATGGGTCTCTAGCATTAACGGTAACCGAATTAGAGACAGTTTTCAGTTTCAGTATCTTATGGCCGCTTCTCCCGTGAAAATGCACCGATTGACCCCAAATTCACGGAGATGAAAGATGACCCCAAGGGTAACACTTTCCAATAATATTATTGGTTCAGTCTGTGTGGTGTCTGAATAACAGCGCAAATAATTTTTTTTTCGTAAAAAATTGTGTTTTTTTGAAAATTTTGGCCTGTTTGACCTTGAAATAAAGGTCAAAGGTCAAATCCAAGGGCATATTTGAAATCTACACATATGACTTTTGGAAAGCCGTCTGTAGAAAAATTTCCCATAATTCCTTCTGTAGGGTAGATAATTAGCATTTAATTTTGCCATTTTTGGACAAGGGTGGATTGCAATGAGTGTCACACCTAGACCCCAATACCGACAAAGCCCAAATTTTAGGTGGAACGAGTTGAGATTATAGGTGACCTAAATCCAAGAGATGGGCATGTAGGCCCTTACTGTCTAGGAGGAGAAGCGGTAACGGTGAGATGGCGGCGGAGCCAGAGGAGCCGGCGGAGCCGCAGGAGCCGGCGGAGCCGGCGGAGCCGGCGGAACATGCGGGTCGGGACTAAAACCATGTGTACCGCCAGCGCCTACGCTGGTGGTACAATAATTCAGTATCTGACCTGCTTCAACAAGATGGGTTCCAGAGCAGGATCCAGTTCCTCTCCCACATTCTCCAGCAGACATGGTTTACCAAAGCGCACAGCATTCTCTAAACTACGCAGGAAATCCCTGTCTGACAGCTTGATGACATCAATTCCATTGTCTTTTTCCTAGTAAAATAAAAAGGACATAATTTAGCTAAGATAATATAAATCTTTATAAATATACAATACCTTATATAAAATATTTTCTTGTATTACACAGTTGATGAGAAATTGCTATAATTAAACAGAATCATGTATTTCTTTAGCATAGCTGTCTGAGCTTATTTTTTACACCCCCCCCCAAAAAAAAAAAAAAAAAAAAAAAACACTTGTGATATAAAACAGCAAAACTTAGGGAAAATGACTATATATCAACAGAAAAAAAGCATAATGCAAACAAATCCCGATTCAATTTCATTTCTGACCGAAGTGTATACAAATATGTTCTGCTCTAAAATCTACCATCAGAGAACCCCCTGATATTCCTCACAAACCTCAGTCTTCCACTTACCAAGTTCTTCACCCATTTATTTGCCTGCCCCTGTGGATCTATGAAGAGTGGCCACCTGCGAGAGTACTGGACCACAACCCCATTCTCCACTGAGAGGTTGTCCTTGGGGAGACCAGCAATCTGCCAGCTGCGGACCTTCACTGGGTCAGCCAAGGTACTGATCAGAGTGGGGTCATCTGTGGTGGGCACTTTGTTCTCAGTCAGCTTCTGCAGCCACTGCTGGACCATGGTGGTTCGATAGTTGCCCTGGTGCAAAAAAAAAGAAAAATCTTATATCTGCTGCAGTTATACCACAAAGCAGTACAAAGATACCAATTAAAATGAAGATTGTATAAAATCATATACAAAAAGCTAACTAGACTGGATATCCATGCCAGAAGAATCACTTGAAAAGATTTGTCACCAGTACATACACTGGTGCCCACCATCAGGTAGGAACATCTTGTTTCCATATAAATATCCTTCTTATTTTAATAAATTAAAATATACAAGAACATGCTCAGCATGATAATAATTCATGCTACTCACAGTGAAAGGTCCCAGGTAGGCCACACAGCCAGCAGACATAAGCACATCTCCAATCACATTGGCCACCATGTACTCCAGTCTCTCCACAGACTCCTGCCACCTGACTTTCTCTCCCGCCAGACCTCCAATGAGCTGAAAGAAAGTTGATCAAAGGAAACATAATATGACATATGTAAAACAAAGCAAAAAAGTTACAGTTAGATGTGATATTTTAAGAGAACAGCTGAGGAGAATAGTGGTAAGGTTTAGATAAAGTGGCAGTAAGTGGAGTTAAAATCTCCAGCTATCATTCTTAATGTGAATAATATATAATTTCCACCATTAATGGTTCCCTAGAAGAAAACATAGGTCTAAGTGATTCTAGGACAATTCCCCCCAGGACAATTCCCCCCAGGACAATTCCCCCTGGACGATTCCCCCCCACCCCCCAGAAATATATATTAATATACAAATATAAAGTACAAAGTGTTAAGTTTAAAACATTTCATCCATTTTATTAATGTTTTTAGTGTGATAATACAACTTCATCATGAAACAAATTATTTTATAACAAATTCCTTTTTGATTGAGTACAAGTACAGGAAGATTTAATAAATATCAAATCAAAGTATAACCACCTATACTTCAGGTAAAGGTGGGGTAAACAGATGAACAGGTAAACAGATATTTTATGAATATTTTAAGTGTGGTGGGTGGTGGGTAGTGGTCAAGCAATTAAAAGTGACAAATGGTCAAGGGAAAACCTGGATGCACCTTGATTCAAGACTTACTCAACCAAGAGGGAGTAATAAAGCAATTAAAAGTAACAGTTAATTCATCAAAGGGTTACCTGGATGAGTGAGATCATCTGTTTACCCCTCCTTTACCTGGGGATATACTTTGATCAGATTTATAATAAAATGTTGTGTACTTCTATCTCGAAAATCGTATGTACTTGTACTCCATGAAAATAATTTGTTTTATAAAATTAATATTATCTATCCTCGAGTTGCAACATCACACTAAGAAATATTCAGAAAATGGATGAAAAGATTTGAACTTTGTACGAGTTCTTTACTTTATATTTGTATATAAATATATATTCTTCGGGGGGAATCGTCGGGGGGGAATTGTCCTGGGGGGGAATTGTCCTGATACCGGTCTAAGTATGTCTACCAATGAATTATTGTACTACATGTACTTTGAATAAATAAATACTAAGGATCTCATGTTGTACCTTATCTGCTCTTCCCAGCCTGGCCTCACACTCCTGAGTTTTGTCTTCCAGCTCTGTCTTCTTGCGCACACAGTCATCATACTTGGCCTGCAGTAGGGCTATACCATCTTCCACTTCCTGGAGCCTGGCCTTGGCAGCATCCAGAATTTTCTGGGTTTCCGCTAGCTCAGCTTGGGCCTGTTGTAGAGCTGCCCTCTTGGGGGCTACAGCTTTAGATACAAAGTGGTACTTGTGCATAGCTCGCACCCACTGGCAGATAGAGGTACACGCTTTTGAAACCTGGTTGAAAAAAAAATCATNGGGGGGGAATTGTCCGGGGGGAATAGTCCGGGGGGGAATTGTCCGGGGGGAATTGTCCTGATACCGGTCTAAGTATGTCTACCAATGAATTATTGTACTACATGTACTTTGAATAAATAAATACTAAGGATCTCATGTTGTACCTTATCTGCTCTTCCCAGCCTGGCCTCACACTCCTGAGTTTTGTCTTCCAGCTCTGTCTTCTTGCGCACACAGTCATCATACTTGGCCTGCAGTAGGGCTATACCATCTTCCACTTCCTGGAGCCTGGCCTTGGCAGCATCCAGAATTTTCTGGGTTTCCGCTAGCTCAGCTTGGGCCTGTTGTAGAGCTGCCCTCTTGGGGGCTACAGCTTTAGATACAAAGTGGTACTTGTGCATAGCTCGCACCCACTGGCAGATAGAGGTACACGCTTTTGAAACCTGGTTGAAAAAAAAATCATAGTGATTAAAATTTTATCTATATACAAAGTAATTTGAAAAATGAATTATATCAAGTTTACTTTGACCATAGTTATGTTACATCTATTTTTAAAATGTAAATAACTTTGTCAGTATAAAAATCAGAGAGAAAGAGAGAGAATAACATTTCAATGAAACCCAGCAAAAATATGTTTAAAAAAATCCTAACACAATTGTTTTAAAATTTTGAAGAGCAGACGGATACCTTGGCGATAGCAGCAGGCTGGAAAGCCTCATTATCTATGTATGTCTGGATGGCCTTGATGGCAACATCTGGAATGTTATCCTTGTCATACTTGAACAAACTTTCCAGGAATTTGCCAGGATCTTGAAGTAATCCTTTTCCAGGCTCCCAATAGTCATCAATTTTTTCTCCAGGCTGCAACACAATTTGTCGAGAAGATTCATTATCATCATACATATTTTAGTTATGGGAGTAATTTATAAAATTTTCATCATTTTAAAGAAATTATATCTAAAATTGCATAATAACAAAAACCAAGGAAACTTTTTTCTCCTGCATTTATAGCATCTTTATTTTTACCTTAACTGAAAATAAAAACTGAAAACCACCTAAAAATTCAGTCCAGAACATTTTATGAGTCATTAAATTATAACTAGTTGTCAAAGTCTCATGAAGTCCCCCTACCTTAGATCCAGGCACTTTCTTGGGCTTGATGCTCTTCATGATGCACACAGCTTCAATAACCATACGCACACCATCTGGTGGGCGTGTCATGGACCTCACTTCAACTACATCATTCTTGTTCAGAGACTTCAGACTTGCCAAAGCAGCATCCTGAGGAGAAAAAGAAAAAAGAGTTAAGTGGTATTCTTTAATGTTACCACTAGAACTACCTGTATCACAGCATTCATGAATACTTCTCAGTTTATGATTAGACAACACATAATAAAAGTTTCGGACAAAAAAACACCTTGATGGTGAGACAAATGTACACATACAAACACATGTACACAAATACACAGTACAAATATAAACTTTGCATTGATGCTATAATTATTTCCATCATCTCCTCTTCCATACAAAAAAAGGAATAAAAGTCTGTTTCCAGCAACATCTATGTAATCAATCCCTTACCAAGGCTGGCAGTGCTTCATTCAGATCTCTCTGTGCATCATCAGCAATGGCCTGGGTCTCCCTGGCTTTCTCCCCAGCCTGGGCCTCCTCCTTCTGGACCACTGCCTTGGTCTCCTCTGCTACTTTCTGAAAATAAAAATTAGTTTTTTTTATTTAAAATATTGCTCATTTGATTAATCTGGTTAGACATGAGTTTACAAGGCCAATTATTATGAAATTTGTGCTTAATTTTACCAGTCCCACCTAAACCTAAATCCCATGTTACTATGCCATATTTATGGTCAATTTAATTTTAATCATTTTTATCATGTTAGCAATCAGGAACCAACTGAGGACTGTTTGATAGGACCTATAAATAACATAATCCTTTTGCTAACTGCTTAGTAAACTGGACTTTCAGACATCTTAAATAATCACAAATAATGCAGCTCAGTCTGGACAGTTGCAACATTGCAATAATCACAAATGTATACAAAACACTGGGCCAATTCCAATTAGACAAGTACTAAACCCATTTGTTACTATGCATTGTTGCACACTGCAATTTTCCCCTTACGAAAAAATTTGTCATTTGAGCCAAAAAACTCAAAATGTGTGGTGACCATTACATTAATTTTGGATGATGTCATATACTGACCGTGTCCACTGAAATCTTCTCCATGGTCACTATGGACTCTTGCACTGCTTCCTCCAGAAGTGGCCTCATGGTCTCCAGCTCTTCCTGAAGCTTAGCCACTTCATCAGCAGTAGTGAGGAGCTATCAAGATGAAAAGTTTCAAGATTTATAAATATAAAAGCTTACAGATGTGAAGGTCAGTGCTAATAATTAAAGTTGCATTCATATCTGCTTGTTGATGTTATCATTTCATCAAAATGACTTTGACTTTATGGTACACTTTTCCACTAATTATTCATAGCCTGATATGTTTTTGTGGCTAATACTGAACCAAGTACAATATAAAAAATAAAAGTAAAGATACCTTATCTAGACCAGTTTTCATTCTGTTTTTAGCAAGAGTAAGCTCATTTCTCTTGATAGACACCAGATTCGAGAAAATCCCCAATAACTCCAGGTAACTTGTTGGAGTGACATACACATGTCTGGACATCTCAGCTAGGTACAGTCTGGCATTCTCTATCACATTCTGATGAATTACTTGACACATAACAACCTGTAGCAAAAAATAATAATCATAATTATTATAATTATAATGTAAGGACAAGGATATCATTATTTTCAAATGAGAGGAGTTTTTGATATAAAAATAAAAAAAAAACACAAAATTACAGAAAACACTGTTACTATGTACAGTGGTCTTCTGACAAAGTTGAAAAAAATTAATGGCAAGATAAATTTTTAATATCTAGTCACTTGGCAGTATCACTTTCAAAAGACTAAAACAAAATTTAAACAAAACTAACAAACAAACAAACATAAAAACAACATTATATTATAAACTATTTAAATAAATCATATTTTGAACCAGACAGTGCCATAGGAGCATTTGTGTATACATACCAGGCCATCAAATACAGTTTCACTGGCATCCAAATCAACAATATCATTCAAAAACTTCATGGCCACAGAGCGGAGAGCATCATCAGGCCACTCACTAAACCAGTCTATAGTGCAGCAGTTCACCAGTGCTGGGAACATACGCAGACGTGCACGGAATATTTCACCAATAGGACTAAAATCAAGGAAAAAAAAATACCATAATTACTGACAAGTTTCAACAAACTCACAATTAAAAAAAAAAAATACAGGTGTTATCTTTTCAAGTTACTCATAAAAACATACTTTCTGACATGTACCCAAACTCACTACATAGAAATAATTCTAGATATCTAATATTATAAAATTGTTTTCCAAAACTGCATGCTTACTCTATGAATCCCTTGAATGTAACTTTAAAACTTTTTCATCTAATCATCGAGTTTTATTTATGATTATGCTTTATTTAAGTCTTCAGAAAACTGACCTCATTGTTACCACAGTGTGCAGATTGCTTCTGACTCTTTTAGTAAAAGCAGAAAACAAGTTAGTTTTAGTCGGCTGATAGCCAGCATCCTGTACAATAGGCTTCATGGCAGTATAGATCTGGTCCAGCTCATCAAAAGCATAGATGTTGGGCACATCACCAGAATTTAAGATGTTGTTCAAATCCTCCAAGAAAGATTCGCTTTTTATCTGAAAGGAAACAATAAAAA